CATGCAAAGAAAAAGGTCCACCTGCCATATGGACACACCTTTCCCCAGTCCTTAACCATCTGAAAGAAACATACCCAACAGTGTCAATTATCCACTTTTTCAGCGATGATTCCTGCCCCACAGCACGTGACAGCACGTCATGTTGAAATAAGAAGAGATGTGTGGGAAGATATTGCCAGATCATATCGTCATGGCTAAGGAAATGCACGCAAATACACAGACACACACACACACACCCAAACAGACAAACAGGTACACACACACACACACACACACACACGCACACACACACACACACACACACACACACACACACACACACACACACACACACACACACACACACACACACACACACACACACGTATACAAACAGGCATTAAGACACAAAGATTACTTGATTGAGCTTGATTAAGTCATTGAAAAACAAACCATAACTGGCCATGTTCTTGGGTTAGAAAACTGGGGGTGTGTTCTGTCTCCGCCAGTTTTATGGGTGCCTGGAAGTCATGGGGTAATGCCAATGTTTTACTTAGGTTCTGACATATGAATGTTTTTAACATGTGACTGTTTGCACTATTAAAATGTTGATCACACGCAGCACACTTTTTCTGTTGACCAATAGAATTAAACACTATTTGGTTAAATTGCAATATAAATTTTTGTTCAATACAATGCACTACTGTATTTCATCCTACAAACATTATTTTCAAAATGTTTACATGGTGGAATTTTTTGTGTGCTATTTTGATACTTCTTTTGTTGTTTTCTATGTTATGATCTATGCGCATGTTAATAAAGTTACGATTGTTCCTTGTGAGCTGGTGAGTCTGTATTTCTCCTTTATGTCATGATGATACCAACAGGTGTTGATTACATGCTCTAAAAGACTTACTAACATATAATAATTGTTACAGTTTAGAATAGTTTTTCTTAAATGCATCATCCTACTTTCTCATGTCCAGTCAACTATGTTACTTTTCTCAACTATGATACTGGGCAGTCAATTAAGTTACCATTATGTTTTTTTTAAATGTATGTATTTGAATGGTTCCCTAATCTCCAAGTAAATATTTTGAAACTGAGTAGCAGTCAAAATTTAATCAAGAAAGTATCATGGATCTAAGCAGTTTGGGGACAAAATATAAAGACTGTTTACTTCATTACTTGAAATGTAGGATTTCAATTGAACAAAATATGTATTTTCATAATTAACTGGGAATTTTTATTTAAAAGGTAGGTAAATAGACACATATTCTTCCAGGAGTAATGATTTTTTTAAAATGTATGAAATTTAATAAAAGTTAAAACTTATAGGTTTAGTCCGTAACATAGTTGACAAAATAATGAGTAAACATCTCGTTTTTAAAACTAAATATCTGAAATCAATTATATCTGAGCTTGGCAATGACTAAAAACTAAATATTTCAGAGATGCTTTATCAGGAAAAATAATAACGTTTTGTAAATAAAGATGTTTTTTTCCAGAATTTTTCAAACTCTAAATCTCCCAAAATTATATATTGACCCTGTTGCATACCGGGAAAAGTCACGTCAACATACGGAGCTCTATAGAGAAGATCAGTAACTGGTTGATTTTTGAGACTACAACAGAAAGAAAGACAGCAGCCGTATCATAGAAAGTATAAAAGACCTCTGAACCAGAGAGTCACCGCAGTGATTGTGTCTAGCTCTTACTGGTTACTTACATATTGAAGCTTGCAAGACGCACACTGGTCATTATGCGCGTCTTGTCAGCCATTACGCACGTTATTGTGGCCAGAACACACTTTTCTTATGGGTGATATTTTGTCCCCTTCGGCCTTCCATACTTATCAACACAAGGTATTCAAGGAAGCCCCTTTTAAACTAAATAGCAGGCATATTCCCTGCCTTAACCTAAATTAGTAACATTTTTCATACTGTAATATGAATAATTAAGTTATTCTTGTCTTTACAAATATGGGTAACACTTTACAGTAAGTTATTAATGTTTATTAGTGAGTTTTAAAGCAGTGAAAACCTATTAATAAAGGATTAACAACTGGTTGACCACATTATGTAATGTATTACTAAGAAGACATCCCTGGCCCTTTGTCCTAACCTTAAGGACATGTATTAGTTAACAATATTGGAAATGTAATTAAAGGGACCCCTTCGTTTATTAATGCTTAATAATGCAACAAGTACTGTTAATAAAGGGACCCTTATTTTACCTGTAGGCAGGGGCGGATTAAGGACTGAAGAAGATCCGGGGCTTAACACACACATGCGCGCACACACACACACGCACACACGTGACATGCACTAGTCAACATATATATATATATATGTCTTGTACCATATAACTTTTAATCTGAAGCTACATATTAAGCATATTCAGGGCAGAGTATTGTTCCTGTTAGTGTTTAGTGTGAGATGATAGTAAATATTCCCTTTCTTTCTCCATCAACGTTACCTGATAGTAAGCTAACTTTAGGCAAACCAGCAGCACAACAAATATTTTCAAATAAGACTCACAAACCTGAGTCAACACCAGTATCATCAAAGCTGGGGTTCTGTCGCGGTACTTCTGGTCTAAAAAACGTCCTTATGTCCATCTTCACACATGCGTTTCAGGCAGAGTGTAGAAGCGGCTGCTGAAGGGCTTCTTCTTCAGTGGTGGAGGCTCAGGCAGGCTGTATACAAACTACTGCTAGCTGCTCCCTCTCTGTTGGACTTTGGTACTGCATGTTACTTCCACGTTTGAGATCCGGGGCTTTTGATTGAAGATCCGGGGCTTCAGCCCAAGTATCCGGGCCTAACGCCGCCCCTGCCTGTAGGTCTACATGTAAAAATTCACTCTCATGGAATCACTGTCTTTCTTCAACTGGGTAAATTACTGGACTCATTCTCAGTAAATGTAACCTTTGCCACAAATTAGAGAACCTTGATGATGCTACATAACTTATTTATGTAGCATCATGAATGTCCTGTTTTTGACTTAAAGGTCATGATCTGCTGCGTCTGCTCGAGCAGAGACATAAAGTCTCTGACAGCCTAATCTACATGAGATAGTGGCCAAGGTCTTTCATGCACTCTGTCATCTGAACTGCTTCACCTTTGTTACAGCGAAGACAAGAACTCTTGTGATAAACACCTAATCAAACACTTTGTTATTACCATTAATAATGTGAGCCCAATGTTCAATCAATCTGTGAAATGACAATGTTATTACTTGATGTTATAATCCTGTGATCAGTAGTATTTTACAAGTAATTATAATCCTGGACATTTGCACTAGACACTGATGACACGTAATGCTAAAGTCACACGACACATTTCCTTTTGTCTGACCCAATCAGAACCTTCGTTTCTGGCTGGGCATGGTAATCTGTGGTGTTTGTATAAACCCTCTTTGGCATGTCAAATTCTGATTCGCCAGTAAACCAAAATATGACAATTATAAAAACTATCCCACGCCACCTTTTCTTTAGTTCAAGCGTTCTAGAGAAGTCTGGGACCGGCCATCCGGACTTCCTCTTCAGCCTTAAAGAACCTCAGACAAGCTGGATAAAATCTGTTGCACGTTACACCTGACCGCAACGGTTCCTTCAGAATAAAAGCTGAACTTCATGACCCCTTCAGGGTCCCGGAGACGCCAGTGATAACCTGTCGTAACCTGGAATCATTCCAAGACTAGTTTGGTCGGCACCGCTGCTTTTCTACCGGCTTCGGCTCCAAGGAGGGTCCGAGAGGACCTCGGCATTCTGGATCTAACGGAGGCTTCCCCTGGGGTACGTAGACCGACAGATGGGTTTCATGTGTGTTATAAATCTCCGACTAAAGTTTAGAGCGAAACATTCACTCCCACTCAGAACTAAATGCTTCTCCAGATCCGCTGGTTCTGAATAACATTCCACACACACACCATCATCATTCATCACGTCTCACTCCACCTTACTCCATCAGTACACAGAGTGTTAGTTATTCTGGTTTAAATTGTGTAGAAATACATTTCTTAACTATTATAAACCTGACTCTTTCTCTTTTCTTGGAGTTAATACGAAGTGTCGCTTAATCCCTGCAATAAAAAGTTCTGATCTTCTGGTTAAAATATTCAAAGATCCATCAGATTGATATTTCATATTTCTATGGAATCTCACATTTTATGGTTCATGAGTAAGATCTAAACGACCCATCCTTTACATTGAATATATAATATGGTTAAGCTGTTGTTGATACGTTATTTAATAGTTTAACTCTTAATTATGCACTAAATAACATTAATAAAGGGACCCTTACTGCATAGCCTTACCAAATCTTTTCTATATTTTCTTTAATCCGATTCTTCAGAAGTCAGTGTTTTGTGATTTTGTATGTAAATAAAGGCCAAATTACTGTTTCAGACTTCAATAACATTAATTCTCAAAATAAAATAAAAAAACAGTAAAGTTTTCTAAAACTTAGCAATGCTTTGACTTAGAGTAGACTGGTTAACTTTTACCTAATTCCAGTCAGGACACGGGCATGTGCCAAGTGGAAACCTGTTTGAAAAACAGGTCTGGCCACTCTGGGAAATGTGATGAGGAAAAATATTTTACAAGTTTCAAAAATATTGAACAACAAACAGCATAAAAGCTTCCTGAAGGCTGCCGACTCGATCATGTGAAAGCTAAATGACTGTTTCTGCAGCAGAAGAGTTTTGGTTATTTATTACCAACGTCAGACTGCAGAGACTAAAGCAGCTCGGGAGAATCGTTTCTCATGGCTGAATTGTTGTTTGATACAGAAACACAAGAGTGCAGAGATAGACATTAATACATAAAACAGACATTCATTATATTTAGAAACAGAAAACTTGGTGTCTAGGAAGTGAGGAAGATTGTATTTCTTAGCATAGACAGTATTTAGCTTTTCTCTGAAAGCATTAATAGAATATAAAATGAGCCAGCACTCAGGTTTTTCCTGTGAAATGAAGTTATTGTATTTATTTGAAAACTAAGTGACAGTACAACAAAATAGCCCCACTTTTTTACCCATGTTTATTTGTCCACAAACAAATTTACAACAGCATTTCATCTCAGTCGGCTCAACTGACACAACCAAAGCAGATGAGATTATTTGTGTTAAATGAGAAAAATAAAAGAAATATAGCTTTTAAAAAATGCACTTGTGGTGGTGCTCACACACGCCATAGCAACACTTCACTGCAGCTCCTAATGAGTCGTCCTCATTCACGGGTTCTCCTTCCAGCATGAATCCAGGTGCGGGTTTTCCTCTAAAATATGGCAACAGGAAGGAATGTCAGGCAGCCGAACAAGCCGCGCTCACGTCTGCTGATCAACAGCATCTCTAAAAACAAGTTCCATCTGCAGACATCCTGCTCCGGCACGGCTCTCTCCACACGCCTGCTCTCCATCGCCGCTCCACTGCACCGTGCTCTTTCAGGAAATTAATTTCATTTTAATTCCCCGGACTAGACAGCACTTCCACTATCGCAGCTTCTGCATGTCCAGAGGGTTAGTCCAATTTGCAGTCATCTCAAAACAACACAAACAAGTAAACAGAGAATAAAATATGCACAACTGCAGCAAAAAGCAAAGACGAAACAATATTTTGTTTGTTTCCACGGTACAGTAATCCTCTGTTCTCACTCAGTGCAAAAAAATGATGATAAAAAAAGAAGAGGCACAAAAAAGAAATATCTAATAATAAATAAACTTTTCTCTATATATTTCTGTGTAATGTATGTACATATTTACTGCATATTTCTGAGGCCAGGTCCCTACATGAGAATACAGCTCTTGGCCCGGTCCTTCCTGATGGCCGGGGCTTGGTCCGTTTGCTGTGTCCGACCCGGCAGAGGCGGCAGCGGGAGCTGCGACGCTTGCTTCAGACCGCTGCGGGAGCTGCTCTGTTTTAGCTGCGGCTTGTGGGGTCGTCTCACCGACGCCAGGGTGGTGATGTGGAACACGTCACGAACGCTGTTCTCAGAAACCTTCGAGGTGCACTCCACGTAGGCCACTGCTCCCACCTGTCTGGCTATTGTGCTTCCCTGGAACACAGAGAGGAAACATTTCATTTAAAAGGAAAAGAGAAAAAGTTCTATTTGCACATTTTCAAAAGGATAGTTCGGATTTTTTTAAGCGGGGACTGAGTGGAGTAGTTGAAAGTGGTCTAAATTTAGAAATTTAGTCAGGCCAGTGGTTACTCAGAGCGTCCACCAAAACTGCTCTCAGACCATATAAGTTACAAATGTTATGTAGTTTTATTCCTCATCCTTTTTAAATGTACATGTCTTTTTCCTAAGTTGTGTAGCCTAGAAATGCAGACCAACCATAGCAGAAGCAAAAGATTTTGCTGTGCAGGTTGGTCTAGTCATGTGCATCTACCATTGGGCCGAATAATTTTAGGTCTGTCCAATCACAGCACGCCATGTTTGTAGAAAGATGTTAGGTGGGCTTAGCACCGGAGCTTCTACAGAAAAAGAACAACGAAGATGGCGCCGGCTCAGGAGCAAGGCTTGTTTGAAATGGCTTTGGCAGCAACTTATATGGACAACTTAGACGGGTTTTTCTTTCAGACATGAACAGGTAGAGATCATCGAGTCCTTTACTTAGAAAAAGGATATATTTGTATATTTTTCCTCGACGGTTTGAGGCGTTCTGCCCCGCTGACTGATAACATTTGTTCTGATTGGTCATAGCGATGTCCAATAGCGACCATTTGAAAGACAACCAAAGATTCTGTGCCACATGAGCTTTGTCTATGAGGCGTGGTCTGATTATATACTCACATACACAGGATGGCTTACCAGGCTGTCACTATTTAAACAACAACATGTGTGTGAAGGCACACACACTGATGAGCTTTGAGGATGATTACCGTATCAAAGCACCAGTTAGCTTTAAGTTGCTGGCCCGCAGCTCTAATCTAGAGATAGAATCAGCCCAACTGATAAACCATCTTCCATTTTTGGTTCTTTTTTAAACACAGAAAGGTTTCTCTTTATCTTGCTGACGGTTTCGTTTGCGGCTGCAAACTTCCTCAGAGCTGACGCTGATGGTGGCGTCACTTCCTTCTCCGCTTATCCGCGGGCAGCAGAGCATGTTGTCGCCCTCTGCTGCCCGCTCTCCCCTCTCCAATGATGCAGTCCCATGCGTGGTCCAGCGTGTAAACTCCGTCGTCCCTGTTCATGGTCCCACATCCACGTCTCCTTATCTCTATAGCTTCTTTTATCCATCTTTTGTATTTTTGTTGTTCGGTGTTTATGATCCTTGTGTTGTCCCAGTGCATTACATGGTTTTCTCTTGTGCATTGATCTGTTACGGCTGACTTCTTTATTGTGCTTTCTGCTTCTTCTTTTGCTGCTCTTGTGTGTCTTCCACTTGTTTCTTTCTCACACTCCTTTCTATGTTCTATTGTTTGTGTGTTGAGTTGGCGTCCGGATTCTCCTATGTATGTTTTATAGCAGAGTTTGCATGGGATTTCGTAAACGACTCCACATTTAAGTCTAGCTGGTATTTTGTCTTTTGGGTGCACTAGTCTGTTTCTAACTGTTGTGTATGGTTTTGTTGGTGTGTTCATGTTGTGTTTTTTCATTGTTGCTCTTATTTTTTCTGTTATGCCTCTGATGTATGGTAGGGTTATCACTGGTCTTGGTTCTTGTCTTTCTGGGTTTCTGGTTCTTTGCTTAGGTTGTTCTTTTCTTTCCGTTGTTGTTTGTTGTTTTCCTTTGTTTATCGCTCATGTCGGGTATCCGCAGGTCATTAAAGCGTGTTGTATGTGTTTGCCTTCTTGTTTACGGTCTCTCTCTTCTGTTACCATGTTTGCTCTCTGATCTAATGTTCTGATTACTGACATTTTGTGTATGGTGGGGTGTTCTGATGTCCATAATAGATATTGGTCTGTGTGTGTTGGTTTCCTGTATGTGTTTATGTTTAGGGTCCCGTCGGTCTGCCTGGTTATTTTCATGTCCATAAATGCTATGCTGCCTTCTATTTCTGACTCATAAGTGAACTTTATGTTGCCTGTGTCAAACAGGCAACTAGGTGGGGTGGTGGGAGCAAACGAGAGCAGCAAAAGAAGAAGCAGAAAGCACAATAAAGAAGTCAGCCGTAACAGATCACTGCACAAGAGAAAACCATGTAATGCACTGGGACAACACAAGGATCATAAACACCGAACAACAGAAATACAAAAGATGGATAAAAGAAGCTATCGAGATACGGAGACGTGGATGTGGGACCATGAACAGGGACAATGGAGTTTACACGTTGGACCGCGCATGGGACAGCATCATCGGAGAGGGGAGAGCGGGCAGCAGAGGGCGACAACATCCTCTGCTGCCCGCAGATAAACGGAGAAGGAAGTGACGCCATCATCAGCGTCAGCTCTGAAGATTTTTGCAGCCGCAAACGAAACCGTCAGCAAGGTAAAGAGAAACCTTTCTGTGTTTAAAAAATAACCCAAAGTGGAATTAGGAGACAAACACAGCAAGAACGAACAAAAGATGATAAATCAGCTGATATTTGATCACATCTGATCTTTTTTAGAAGCTGTCTGCCCTAAAATCAGCTTCTTTTTGTGTTCGGGACAAAGATTCACACCATTGGGACAAATGGGGTTTTTAGTATGCTATGTTGTGAACCCATGCCCATGTGTTTGAACAGATTTTGACATATTTTAGCTTTTTTGCTCCATTAACTTTTTATAGTTTCTTTTATGTCTTTTTAACAACCTTTTTGTTGGTAATCTATTCAGCACTTAGTTCCACTTGTGTTTGAAAAGTAGAGGAGTATTATTAAATAATTAGCCGTGTCTGTGCGTGCCATCTGCTCATCAGCAGGACACTGAGCAGCCACGCAGTTAGTGAAGCATCCTGAAGTTCGTGAACACGAATGGAGCAACTGTCTTACACAAAAGAGACGAGGTGTAAAACTATCTGAAAAAGCCGTCAGACTGATAAAAACGAGCTCCTGTGGGAGATATTTTAGCTGTTAGCCTTAAGCGCTCTAGTTCTGCCTACTGTGAGGTAAGATGCTAACAAGCCTCACAAATCGACCCCACTTTTAAAACTCCCTTTCTGTTGTTACTTGGTTTCATATTCTGTTTCCTCCCAAATACACAACATGCTTCTCCTTTTCCCATCAGCAGTTGTTTTAGTGTCCAACAATTCTGAGATGTCTCTACATCCTCTGTGGTCCTCTCTGGGGGGCTGGATCTCAGGATTAGAATGTCCCTGAGAGCAAATGAAATATGTTGATCTAGATGACAGAATGTCAATGATCTACACATCTGGACATAAATAAAGCTCTTGTATTGGATGCATGAATCGTAAGCTTGGGACTTTGGCTGAGATTCATTCATTGGCACAAAAGATGGACGCCATCAAGGATAGAGTGGACGAATCAGCATGGATTGGGATAGATTAATGTCCATTATTGGATTTTGAGAGGTTGAGGACCAACAAACTGTAAGACAGAGAGGAAATTATCTCTGTCTGGCCCCAAAACAATTTCTAATTGGAATCTGGCGTCCTTGGGCCTGCAAGGCTACAACGAAAACTCCCCCATCAGAAGATATGAGGAATGTGCCGTCGCTATGGCAACTCAACTCTGTCTCCTATCCCAGCCTGGGCGGGACTGCGGGAAGGCCACAGAATCATTCCAGGGTCACTGCAACCCTCCAACCCTCAATGCGCCCCCCCACCATCCACACTGAGGTGACATGCGCTGCTTGTAGTGGCTGCAGGAACTGAAGTGGGGATAGTCCCAACCCACCACCCCACCTAGTGGACACTTATGTTGTGTTGTCTGAAGTCTGTTGCATAAATGTCTGAGGTGTTTTTTTGCAGAGCAAAGCTGCCCTCCCGGTGGAGGGTAACTCTGAAGTGCCTTTTTTCCCTCCATCTGAACCAATCCTCATGTAACCATTTTATCTCTATTAAGGTAGCGCGACTCAGGGTTGCAAATGACCACAGTCGCCAATTCTTGTCTTGTGTCTTGCCCATGTATGTCTGATCTCAGAATTGTGTGTACTGAAACTCTAATTTCCCTCTGGGATTAATAAAGTATCTTTGATTTGAATTGATTGATTGATGAATACTAACGGGCTGATGTTGATATGGTCCATGAGGCTTCTTATAGATAAGAGACTGAATAAGCAGAAGTCCTCCGCCGCTCAAGCTCACCCCTGAGTGATGTAACAGCACACACAGATAATTAAGACTTTAAATTGTTTGCTTAAGATCAGATCAGGCAAATTTCATTTTAAAATCCCTTGGCTCTTCTCTCTGCTGTGCTGCTAAGTGGCTCAATCTCTTGTTTCATCGTCAGCTTTTAGTTCCCCCAGAATCATGCAGCGTAAGCAAAAAAATTATAATTAAAAAAATGGTAACAGCTTCTGCTTTTCCTACGACCTTAAAATCACAAAGAGAGCCAGCTTCTGGTCCCTGGTGGGCGTTGTTTGATTCCTATCACTGTTTTGCACAGAGAAGCATGTAAGGAGCGACAAGGCCCTCATTGGGTGCAACGACAGTTTCAGATTCAGCCGTGGCAGCTGGACGGGGCCGAGGTGGGAGATTGTGGTGACAAGCGGAAAAGCTAGATCGAATCTTGGGCAGATTAGTGTGGAAATATCTGGAGTTCACCTGGTGGTCACTTTCACTGGCAACTCTTCAGCTCTGCAGGAATTCAATTTGAGATCAACAAGAGGATAACAACGCAGGCTTACCGCACCACAACGTGTGTTCAGGGGAAGAGACTTTACAAAAGGGAAACAACTGATGAAATGGTTACTGTGGTAAAGTTTCTTATGGTTAATATTAAAGTTAATGTTTAAACAATAACGGTGACACTTGAAACATGAAATCATGGTGTAAAATTCCATTTTACTACACTGAACAAAAATATTAATGCAACACTTGTTTTTGCTCCCATTTTTCATGGGCTGAACTCAAACATCTGAAACCTTTTCTAAATGCAAAAAAGACCCATGACTCTCAAATATGATTATCTTGGTAAAGGAAAAGTGCTCACTAACACACACGTAGGCAGATTTCAGAACCATATTCGAGAGTCATGGGTCTTTTGTGGACGTAGACACATTTTCAGAGTTCAGCTCGTGAAAAATGGGAGCAAAAACAAAAGTGTTGCGTTTATATTTTTGTTCAATGTATAACAAATAAAGGCTTGAAAGATCTTGCTTTGCATGTAGTGAGTCAATCAATCTCATAGTTTCACCCGTTTCGTTGTTGATCAACTTTTGCACCAAATTCTAGCTTTTCCAGTTTCACCATTTATTGACCATTAAGGGATTGATGTTTAAGAAGTCTCCTCCATTTAGACAGCAAAGAAAAGCCATGAGACGAGAGAAATGCGGATAAATGCATAGGTACACCAATTCTAGCCTATTTGTGTGTGTGTGTGTGTGTGTGTGTGCGTGCATGCGTGCGTGTGTGTGTGTGTGTGTGTGTGTGTGTGTGTGTGTGTGTGTGTGTGTGTGTGTGTGTGTGTGTGTTTAATTATACAGCAATGTGGTTGTTCTAAAAGTACTTTTCTGTTGTCTAAATAATTGTTATGGTCTGCGTTCTGCGTCTCCCTCATGTGTCTCCTTGTCTGCATCCCTCTCCAGGTTCTCCCTCCAGGTGTCCCCTCAGGTCCTGTGCTCCTTGTGGTCCCCAGCCCCTTACAGGTTTCCCTCATGTTTCCCCCGGGTCACTTTATACTTAGTTATCCCACCCAAGTTAGTCTAGTCTCCCCATAGATCCCCTCTCTTTGGTCCCTGTCTCTTCAGTTCCCCCAGCAGAAGATTTAGTGTCTTTTCTGGTGTCTAGTTTTCAGGTTTATTAATTCTCTCATCTTTAGTTCTCGGTATAGTTATTGTTTCCAGTCAGTCTTTTCATGTAACAATGTTCCTTTCCCATTTAGTTAATTCATCTCTCCTGACCCCTTCAGCTCACACTCCCCACACACCTGCTACCTGTTTCCCTGATTGCTCCCCTCTGTGTTTGTATATAACCCGGTCTGTGTCTCTCAGGCCCTGTCCACACGTAGCCGGGGATCTGCCAAAACGTAGATATTTTACTACGTTTTGGCCTGTCATTCACACGAAAACGGAGTTTTTTCACACGAAAACGGATCTTTTTAAAAACTCCGGCCAAAGTGAAGATCTGCGTTTTCTCCGTTTTGGGTGTCTGTGTGTGGACAGACAAAACCGGAGTTTTAAGGTCCGCAACGTCACTTTCCGCGACAAAAAAATGCTGACATCACGTGTGCGACCTGTGTTTACACTAGCCGACAGCATGGATGCCCTCAGAGCTGCGCTCGCTTTATCAATTGTCCAAGCGCTTTCTGCTTGTTTGTTTTTGCAAGCGGAATTACTGCTCCTTGCGGAAGACCACAGACGAAGGACGAGGTTAAGAACGGGGGAAGTACTGCCGCCTACAGGTCTGGCATGTCCTTAACAACGTATTTATCCGGGTACGTGTGGACAGAGTTTTTTTTTAAAGGAGGTGGTGTGGATGCAAGTTTTAGGAGGGGCGGATATTCATTTTTTAAAAACCCGGCTACGTGTGGACTAGGCCTCAGTGTTGTTGGTTCATTGTTCGTGTCGGCATTGTTTTGTCCTCCCCTCTAGGTCTCCAGGTTTTTTGGCTCTGTGCACCACTAGGTTTTCTTTGGCTCTGCCCTACTAGGATTTTTTTGGCTTTCGTGCCTCTCTAGGTTTTCTTTTGAACTCACCATCTTAATAAGATGTTTAATTTTACGTCCTCTCCTGCCTCGTGTCAGTCTGGGTATCTGCGCTTTGGGTCCTACTCCTCCAACCCTCAGCGTGACAATAATATGCAATATAAAAATTTCAGACGGCCTTAAACATAAACAGTCCAAGACTCTTTGTTTGTTTTGTTAAAGTTTAGTTCATCTCAACACATCTTTTTAAAGTGCCGTATCTTTCAGAAACTGCATTAGTTATGCCGACGGGATCCCGTTCTGAAAAAGCCCTCCACATGTTGTGAGAGCATTAACTCAAGATCACTGGTGGCTGGTTGAAATTCACACATTTACAGTTAACCGTCACCTTCATGCTCTCCACCCCACATCCCTCGCTTGGAGGTTATAACAGCTGGCGGTAAAAGGGCTCACTCATTCATCAATGTCTATTTTCTATTCATTCTGCATTCTGAAAATCTCTAAATCTGCATGAATATCTCCCTTTAGCACCAATGTGTCCCTGCGCAGACGCGCCGCTGGTCACTGGCGCTGCAACCTTTAACATAAGCAACGCTTTATCACCTCAGCATGTTTTGGTCGATATTCCAACCACAGCAAAATGCCCATGAGGGATTTTACGCTGCACTTATGGTGGTCATGAACTAGCTGATTGTGTTGTATAACCGTCGATCCGCTTCTTTAGGTCCCTTTTTTGTGGGATCTCATAAAGAAGTAATGTCAACACAGAAAACAATAACTTCAGCTTCTCAGAATCAGTTTTCTATCTGAAAGCACCTTCTGGGCTTCTCTCTGGAAAGAGCTTCTGAGGAAACGCTATCTCAGGTTTTATCCCGTCCTTTCAGCTCAGATATCCATCTTCCTCTTGTTCTCACCTGCTCATGAGTGACAGGGATTAGTCTCTGCATGGAGAGCTCCCTCAGGGTTCTGACGTCCGTCCTCATGTCCATCTTGCAGCCCACCAACACCACTTTAGCATTTGGACAAAACTCCTGCGTCTCTCCTTGCCACTGCACACACAACAGAGGAAAACAAATACATTCATCGCAGTTGATCTCGAGCACAAACCCCGAGGCTCAGACAGATTAACGAGCCTTTTACGAAGCATATTTGTTCTGCTGAGGAGTCCCTGGGTAATCACAACGATTCACAGTAGCACACAGAGCTAACGTTGTGCTGCACATTAGCCGTTTCTGTAAGTAATAAGTGGCCAAACGAGGAAATTAAACACTTAAAGCCATACATGCAAAAATAATCATCGTTTGTGGGACAAAAAGCTAAATCTAGGCAACAATCTGAGCATTCATAACATAAATACTGGAGCAGGGGCTTGTTGACAGTCTGGTCATCCATGCGAGAGTGATTACAGATTACAGGTTTACAGATTTTCTACCGGTTGTAGACAGTTCTATGAACAGCCTCTCTTTAGAGAAACGGAGAGTAATTCTGACCAAACTGGGCAGGTTACTACCGCTGCCTTAAAGAGACAATGTGTTGTTTTTGCTGTTAAACCCGAATCACACTGGACGATTTTTGGCCATCGCACAGGATTGTTCATGTCACGCTGTGAGATCTCCAGAAAGGTGGCACAGTGTAAGGCGCCAGATTTGGGTGCGGCAGACTCCACAGCGTCTTTCCCCAGCAGGACACGCTGCATCATGAGCACACCTCCCGAAGCAGACGTCACTAAGCAGACCGCTAACCAAAACAAAGCTGAAAAGATAAAAACACTTATTTTTAGTGGCAGCTCATGACCCAGCTCATCTTCCTCAAAGAGGAAGCTTCGTTTTTAAAACCCTCGCTTTGGCGTCAGACTCTAGCTGCAGGTCTCCTTTTCCTGTCTTCCACCTAAACAGTGATCTGTTTGCTGGTCATTCATCCTTCTCCTCCTTTATACACAGGAACCCACTACACTGCAGAGAAGTAACAATCTGTCACAGATTGCTGCAATATCTAAAGGCTTGCCGTGATTTCTGTGTCACTGCTCCGCTCTATGTGACCGCTCACACCCGCTGTCACGGAGCTGCCTCTGTCCCCCTGCAGCAAAACGCTACTGAACCATTGTTATTGGCTGAATATGTGAAATTTCCACCAACAGCAAAGGGATCTCATGTTTTTGTGTTTGATTTTTTATGTTTGTGAGCTCGTCTCCTCTCAGCTCTCACAGAATCACAGTTTTCACAATTTATCTGATGGTCTAAAAAAGGTAGTTTCATTATTTTAGTACAACTCCAGTTTAACTTGGGCTATTAACAAAACTAAAAACTGGTGTCTAGTTTATAATCCGCATTTTAAACATAAACTGAAACCGAAGATCAGAGAGGCGGAGTCTTGCTCCTGCGGGGTCCCAAAGGTATGTTCTCATTGGTCGGTTACAGACAGGAATCGTAGGTTTTTAAGCAATGTATGTAGACTGTCAGAGGCTGATTTGGGTCGTTAGATGGCTCAAAAAGATGTCACAGAGCCGGTCAGGCTGGACGACCACAAAACTGCAAATCACCCTCACGTTCATCGTTTTTTACATGAATGTGCTCCCGACGAGGAATATGGCTAAGACGGCCGAAAATTGCACAGTGTGATCCGGGCTTTAATCTCTGGAAATATCCATCAACATATTGTTGAAAATTAATTAAATGATGCCCAGTTGTTGAAAAATGTTGGCGACTTTGTAACATGAAACCATAAAAATCAGGCCTAAAATACATGGGAGTGGGACAAATTGTGTTTCTCAATGTCAGAGAACATCGCCTTGATGTCTTGGTCCCGCCCCGGTTGCCTAGGAGATCAGGAACCGTCAAGGCGTCCTCCAATGTTCATGTTCTACCGAGGCGTCTGTTCTCCATTTGCTAGCCATTTGGCTAGCTGCGCAAGGACGCATGGGAGGTGTCTTGTAGCCTAGCCTTTCTCAAAAATGTCCCAGAATACAGTGCGGTATTTTCAAAAGGATGTCGGATCAGAAGCCGGCAGCTACTTTGGAGGGAAATTTTGAGTTAAAATGTAAGTCAACTAGTTGTAGCTATTGGGCTGATATCTAAAATGTTATTTATTTATTTTTAGATCCAAAGCAGCTAGGCTTAGTATGCTTTATCTGTGGTTGGTTAGTTGCTTAGTAAGTGCAGCTTCGGTGGCTAGCAGGTAGTAACTCACTTACATATTTAATTTGACAAATATATACACAATTAAAAGTAAAAGGCTTGTTATATATTTATATTGAAATGTATACGTTTGAAATATAACATTATCTCTCATGACCGCGGCTTCCACGGCGGTCACGGGAGGCAAGTCTGTTCCATTTAATCATTTCTAACAGTGTCCTCGTAAGCAAGGTGCCTGGCCTGCTAAACATCGCCTTGCAAGCCAGGCGCCTTGACATTGAGAAACACACCTCAGTCTCTGGGCGACGCCATTTTTGACGCCATGTGTCCTCCTACAGGGCCAGTGAAGACAAAGCACATTTACTGATTTGTTACAAGTGGTTACTAAACTTTCACCATTCATAAACATTGTTGATTTAAATGTTTACCTCTTCACGTGTTGCCAGTGATGAAAGAGAGTCTGGCGTGCTTGTTACGCTGGAGCTTCGCAAGGATTTGACCCTAATGACCATCCGTTGGTTATGTCTTACTCGGAAATAAAAATACCGCTCGCTTGCAATGATTTAGGCATGTGCTGCCCCCTATCGCCAGAGAAAATACACATCGTCATAAAAAAACGCCCATCTCTAAAATTCCTAATTGGTTTATGCAATTGTTATTTTGCAAAAAAATTTGTTTTAACTTAGCAAAATATTGAGATTTGGTGTCAAATTTTACAACAGCACATGTCTGTTTCAGTGTTTAACATTAATCATTAACGGGGCGTTATGGAAGTTTGACAGTCAAAACATGTATAGGAATAATAAATGTCTTCTTCATACATTCTCCTGCAATGTCCTGGTCCTGTAGAATGAGCCCTGGCAGTTTTACTGTGATTGCCTGTTTTTCTGTAAAATCACAGAAAAAGAGAGCTGCTCGGGTCGAGCAGGCTGCTTCATGCGCGTTCACGCTCAGGCATCGCCCGTAGCATTTGCTATCAGTAGCTTTAGCAGCAGAGAGAGGCAGTGCCACTTTGTCGCTGTTCCTAACGCCTAGTGATGAACCTAGCTACATTTCTGAGGACCCTTAGCTACTTTCTGTAGAACTTTCTTCTAGATATTTCCTGCAAATTAGCAACAAAATTGCCATTTTCGCTCCGAACCATTCTTTGGTTTGACGTTGTTTCAGGTGTCATCAACGATATAAATGTTACAGATAGATTGAACATCATTGGCACTTTAGCTCACCTTGTAAGATGTCTGACTCTCATACAGAAGACCTGGGTTTGATTCTGGGTGTGTACATAGTTCATTTAGAGTTTTTTTTTTTGCATTAATGGTATATTTTTTTTTACAGTAAGATGCCCAAATTTTTATTTGAGACTCGCCGAACGGCATTGAATTCACAGATAAAAAAGATGTGGGTTCAACTTTCATTTTGGAACAATTTTTCAAGCAAGGGAAGGGAATGATCTGAGCATGCAGGAGGACTGACCCATCCTTTGTCGGCTGTGCTGAAGAGAAAGGTACTGAACCAAATTATTTAATTAATTAGCTGCACGTTCTCCTGTCCTCTGGGCCACACACACACACACACACACACACACACACACACACACACACACACACACACACACACACACACACACACACACGGGACTGTCTCAGCTGGCATTTTTGTTAAGGAGTGTGCACGTACAGCATGCGCGCCTCGTGCACGAGCCTACTATTGAGCTGCCGTTTCGCTTTTGGCCTGAGGGGGCAATCGCGAGCATAAAAATTCAAAAGTCCGTAAAGTCCCTTTAATGTCTTTTTTACTTTATAAAACATGAAAAACAGAAACCCGAGCTCAGGCTGCAGCCCACATTTATATGTTTTAATCTGCACGTGTGTACCCAGCATGTTAGAAACATACTTCTGAAAGATTCATAATTCCATAAATTCTGAAGGACAAAAGTGGTTTTAAAACAACAAACAAACTAACAGACCTGTGAAGCATCACTGTACTAAATTACAGCGAGCAGACGGCTGGACAAAAGTGGAATCAAATGTTTTTACTGTCTGAACTAAAAATACATTTTAAAATGTTACCTTGGTAACCGAGTCTTTCTTAATCGAAACTATAAAGACAGAATGATGAGAGAAGGGGCTGAAAGAAATTGTTGCTGTTGGATTTAAAAGGTGCAATTTTGTGTTCAAATTTAACCCTTGATTGCCATTTTGACAGAATTTATCGTCATTTCTTCTGTATTTGTCACAGTCCCAGAACCACCTACGTTTATGTATTTGTTTTGTCTGCATTCCCATGAGGGGTTCAGACCTAAACCACTAAATCACTCTGGATTAGGTCATATTCCTGCTGCATCTTTGTGCATCTTTTTCAGGGTCTTCTCAGAAAAGGTGGTCTTCAATCTAAACTCTGCGGCATGCTGTGTGCAGAAAGTCACCGCATCCATTCATGCTTCATGCTTAACACGACCTTTGACCTTCAGAGTCCATCGCTGTTCTCCCCCAGCTGTCCTCTAGGAACCTCTGAGACCTCCTGTTTCTTGGAGGTCAAGAGTCTAATTTGGAATGTGGATTGTGCAACAGGTTTTCCATGCGCCAAAGAGTTTCAGGGATTACCAGGATGACAACTAGGGGTCAGGGGTCATGGCAGCCCCCTGCCATGTCATTCATGGGAAAAGCTAAAGCTAGAAGCTGCCGATGCTCCCTGTTGTTGACAGAAGCCACTGAGGCTCATGAGATATGTGTGAGTTGAGTTAAATAATGATGTATTGGGTTAAAGCTACAAAAACCTTAAGGGTAATTTAGCGGCTCCCTTCAGACCACTAAACACGTCAGCAGGAAAGTCGTGGGAACTGGCTTCAACCCAGTTCAAAGGCAAATACACATGGCTTCAAGATGAGGGGCCAATAAAAGACCAAGAGACTGTTTTACATGACTCACATGCATGCAGACAAACGCATGGGTAAATTCACCTCAGGTATGTCTCTATGTGTGGTCCCACTCTCCTCCAGTGGCTCTAAAACCTCGTCCTAGACCAACGCTGAACCACTACTGCACCCAGTGCTTTCAGTTAGCCCCCTTAACAACCACTATCTGCTCAAGCATTGAGCATAAAACCCAGAGGTTAAAACCCAAAATCTCGCAGAGAGTTTGTTTCTTTTAGAGCAGCTACTCCGACACGGTCAACTGATTTGCATATTTCACTTGAACTCGATCAGCTGCACAGCCTCTCCTGTCGTGCTTCACGCTGACCTGTTATTTCTTACCAGGATGCAGGTCAAGTGTCCACGGACATTCTGATGAAAGGAACAGAAACCAGAGGCTTCAACCTATGCACTGATTTGCTCTATTGTGGGATAGTGAAAAGCTGCTGGCACAGAAATCTGAGTCAATACGAGATGCCGAACAGACGGGGGGAAGGGCAGGATTTCTCACAAGAGACTTTAAATGCAGGGGTATGGCGTTTAGAGGTGTAAATACATTAGAAATGAAACACTGACCTTTTTAATGACGCTGTCCAAGGTCTCTGGCCGGCTGATGTCGAAGCAGATGAGAACAGCATCTGAGTCCGGATACGCCAGCGGCCTCACGTTGTCGTAATAAGAGGAACCTGTGGCCACACAACAACATACGGCATAAGGTCATGACACATCTAGAGAAATTCTTGTTTTTAACCAGATTTAACCCTACAGGGGCCTTCATCCCTACCATATGGCTTATTTTGCCAAAAGGTGAACTGAAGGTCATAAATACATCCACAGCTCATTAAAGCTGGCACTGTGACATGCACTTGGACATGCTGCAGCTTGGCAGATGCAAATGAGTCCTAATCTTCACAGTTATGCATGCATATGTGTTTTCTCTGGGGTTTCCACACAGCTGTGGCCTCTTTTATCACAGGGCTTTATAAAAATGTTTCAGGGTTACTCAGAAAAGCACTCAGAAAGTGAAAGGCAGTAGGCTGGAGGACTGAGTACAAAACCCATATTCATCTTAAAAAGGCAGCAAGTGCCCCCGCAAAGGTCAAAATGAAGGTTGAACCCCTTAAATCTCAACCCAGACACTTTTTCTCTCTTGTAAATAACTTTTGCTTTAACGCTGTTTTAAACCTGATTTTGCTTCCTGCACTTGGATCAGATTGGAGGCGGAGTTTTGTCCCCGCTCGGTCACACAGCTGCTCTCATTAGGAGACCTGTAAAAATATTTGGGTTTCCAGGGAAATGTGGCCGTGATCATGTGGGAACCCTCCCCCTACCTCTATTCAAAGCTGATCTCGTATATCTGCACTTATAGTCATTAAGGCGCAGCTGTTTGGTGACAAAGATACACGTTTTAAATAAAAAAAGAACATTTAGGAATCTGTGAATCAAGTAAAAGATGCGCACATGCACACTACTGAATTACTTCCCTCAAGATTTATTTTTGGGTGCTTAAGAGTTAATAGCAGACTTGTAAACAGCCTGTTAAACGGCTGCATGTCTTTGTCTGGTCATGCAGTCTGCATAATGGCACTACAGCGGTTTTTAGTACCACTGGTGTCTTCGTGTTAATGATGGAGCGAGTCTGACAATAGCTGCACGTGGCCCACGTCCCCCATCACTCAGCCAGCTGTCCGGTGCTGGCCCGCCTCTCCAGTGACAACAGGTGGCACAATAAAGATCCCTTACTTTTCTGCAAACTTCCAAACACGCATCAATCTTTTATTATAAAGACAATGTCCTATGGTTGGGAAATGATCTGCAAATACCAAAGATCTAGAGAGACGCAAAGACTGCAACTTTAGTTTCTGACGAAAACTCCTTAAAAAGCATTTTTATTTCTCATAGATAAATTACCAGTCCATGATAGTTGAGCCTGTTTGTGTCACCAGACATTTGTGTTACCTGCTTAAGCTATTAGTGATTACTGCTCCCATTAACACAGAGACTAGTGTTGCTGTAGAAGCAGTTCAGACACTTTACATTAAATAAGTGTTTGTCAGCCTGTATATCAGTGAGTAAAATGTTTGAAAACCGGTTCTCACGTAAAGAATGATAAATTCACAATTTAAATATGAAAAAAAAAAGAATGAGAAATTCACTATTTAAAGGGACTTTACGGACTTTTGAGTTTTTATGCTCGTGATTGCCCCCTCAGGCCAAAAGCGTAACAGCAGCTTCAATTGTAGGCTCGTGCACGAGGCACGTATGCTGTACGTGCACACTCCTTAACGAAAATAACAGCTGAGACAGTCCCGTGTGTGTGTGTGTGGCCCGGAGAACAGAGGACAGGAGAATGCGCAGCTAATTAATTAAATAATTTGGTTCAGTACCTTTCTCTTCAGCACAGCCAACAAAGGTTTATCATGGGTCAGTCCTCCTGCATGCTCAGATCATTCCCTTCCCTTGCTTGAAAAATTGTTCCAAAATGAAAGTTGAACCCACATCTTTTTTATCTGTGAATTCAATGCCGTTCGGTGAGTCTCAAATAAAAATTTGGGCATCTTACTGTAAAAAAAATATACCATTAATGTAAAAAAGAAACTCTAAATGAACTATGTTCACATCCATAATCAAACCGAGGTTTTCTGCATGAGAGTCAGACATCTTACAAGGTGAGCTACACTCTAGTAACATTCACCGTATCTGTAACATTTATATCCTTGATGACAGCTGAAACAACGTCAAACCAAAGAACGGTTCGGAGCGAAAATGGCTATTTTGTTGCTGATTTGCAGGAAATATCTAGAAGAAAGTTCTACAGAAAGTAGCTAAGGGTCCTCAGAAATGTAGCTAGGTTCATCACTAGGCGTTAAGAACAGCGACAAAGTCGCTGAGTTGGCACTACCTCTCTCTCTGCTGCTAAAGCTACTGATAGCAAATGCTACGGGCTATGCCTGAGCGTGAAGCATGAAGCAGCCTGCTCGACCCGAGCATCTCTCTTTTTCTGTGATTTTACAGAAAAACAGGCAATCACAGTAAAACTGCCAGGACTCATTCTACAGGACCAGGGCATTGCAGGAGAATGTATGAAGAAGAAATGTATTATTTCTATACATGTTTTGGCTGTCAAACTTCCATAATGTCCCTTAAATATGAACTTAAATGGTGTAACTAGAACATTATTATGTTTTAGAAGCCAACATCCTCATAACAAGGTGAAGTTAAAGGATTTCATGTAACAACTTTATAAATTACAAATAAATTATTTAAGATGCGAAGTCAAACTCTAAGGAATATTCCAATATAAGCGTCTTGAAGAAGAGTTTAGAACAAAATAATGTTGACTGAAAAGTGATTGGCAAAGGAAGCAAAAGGAGAAGATGATATTAGCTGCTCAGCAACAGCTGAAGCACAACAGTAACAAGAGGCTGCATGTTGACAAAGAGGAAACTTTGACTAGCGCAACATAACGGGCTGTTAACATGTCTGCAGGTGCTTCGGCTGCAGGTGAAAAGGTGAATACAGAAGAAGAGAAATACACGAGGGCCAGGATTATGTAAAAGCCATACGGAGATTTAATCTCTAACTAAATACACCAAATAGACGCCATGATTCATCGAGCCGGTTACTCGTTTAGAGCAGATTGGGAGTTGGTGCTGATAGCATCAGTGTAATTAAAGATGAAGAGCTGTTCTCACCTTTAATTCCCATTCAGAATAGAACCATGTATGTTCTCTCCTAACCAGCCAGTGCTGCACACCCACAGGTTATTGATCTGTAGCATATGGTGACCTAATGTAGCAACTATTTATGTTTATCTATGAAATTAGAATAACATTAAAATATTAATTAAAATGTTTTAATCTTTCATTTCCCTATGTTCTGACTTACCTGGAATGCTTCAAAGACTTTCAAAAGCATTTTTAAGTTTTTCTTTGGACTTTGATTCTTTTTGCTTCATTTACTTTGGACAGCTAAGAAAACAGAGCATGGGTTCAGCAATGGCTTTAATAAGGAGGATTTGCAGACTGCATCATCCTTCAGTTGTCCCAACTTCAGCTCATCTCTTTGGGAATCACCTTATTGCATTGATTAGGGATTGTCTAACACTTCATTTCCAATACCGATGTATGCAGGGTCCCCCCTGATAAAAAAGGAAAAAAATAAATCATATAGGTAGCTGACATCACATATCTTCGGGGGTGTGGACTCGAGTATCATGACTTGGATTCGAATCAGACTTGAGTGATTATTTTAATGACTTCTGACTTGACTTGATAAAATCCATAAAGACTTACGACTTGACTCAAACTTGAACGCCAATGACTTGCGACTTGAATCGACTTGCATCTGTTGACTTGATGATGACTTGAGCATATTTGATATTTTAGCACAAAAGTGGCACGACATGGACAGAAATCATAAATCATTCTTCGTTCTGGGTGTGATCTTGTTCTGCTGAATGCAGCAGCACTTTGTTTATAGTCAGTTTCTGATTGTTTGAGTAAATAAATGAAGCTTTAAGAAGCTTTATTTCTGGAATTTATTTATTATCATTGTCATTAAATTGGACAGATTACTTGATTATGACTTGAAAATTCAAAGTTAAGGACTTGGACTTGACTTGGATGACTTGGACTTCCACATCATTGACTTTGGACTTGACTTCGACTTGGTTGTCTTTGACTTGGACTTGACTCGAGACTTGACTGGAAATACTTGTGACTAGCGAAGCAGTGCCTTGGTCCCACCTCTGCATATCTCCTATCATGAATGCTTAAGCTTTAAACATTATCTAGGCAAAATGACAACTGCTTAAATTTAAGTTAGTAACAGAAAAAAAAGTCATGTTTAATTTGTCTCCAACAGCAGCTGAACGACTCTCTCCCTGAGATAATCCTGACACTCTGTCACCCCTTTAGACCAGGGATAATTATTAAGTTCCTGATGGGAAAAAGTTTGATTAATAAGTTAATAAATAGTACAAGTGAATTCATAAATAAAGGTTAACATTTTTGAGGTTTTGAAAACAGATCAAAGTGAGACATCACTTTTATATTATCTGAGCGAAACGCGGCTGAGTGAGCGCTCACACCTCAAACCTACGTAGTTTCCGTTTCCTCCACTCCGGATGTGTTTACATTTAGAAACAAGAGAATAAACGGATCACGAACATTCTGATTTTGCCTTTTACGTTTGTTCTTTGGAGAACAGTTTGTTCAGGGAATGTTTGGGTGATAGTTAAAGATAAAATATGTGCATTGTGAGCATACACATGCTAAGCTAGGTAATTGCTAAGCGCGACACTAAGACTCCTGTATTGATGTATTTTTTCTGTTTCTGTATATCATGCTGATAAAACATTTTTAAAGATCTTCATTTAAGAAAAGCAAGCCTTGGGTGAAAATTGTTGTGTTTGTTTTAGACGTTTGCTAGCTGCTAGCCGAACACAGCTACGTGCTAGGACAGCAGATCCTCTCCACAGGGCAAATTCCTAGTTACTCACAAGTTGTGCCAAACACAACTAAAATATCTCAAAAGCTAAACCTCAGATTTGTCATAATTTGGCATTTTGAGAGAGGGGATGAAGTCTTAAGAGTTTAATGTATAATATGTGAATGGTATGTAAATGATGGGCCACTTAAGGAGTAAAAACAAATACAGAGGTTTTCCATTATTACATTTTAAG